TGTGGCTCGTTTGAGGGATTGGGTGGACCCTGGGGTTCATTTTCAGTAACCCAGCTGCAATACCTGTATGAAATATTAGAAAAGAATGATTCTATTTTACCGTTTCTACTTGTAGTACTGCTATGTGCTCAGCTTAACTGGAAGCCTGGGAATGGGCATAAGTTGTATGTCCTACATTTCATCCTTGTCCTAGGCCTGCATTGCACTGGAAATAAAAAATCACCATCTATACTTACACCAGTATTTAGTTCAAGATGCCAAATTCCTTCAGCCCATGGCTGAAGAAGGACAGAAGAGTCAGGATAAATTACATACCAAGGACCGCAAAGTGAGGGAGTTAGGGATTTCCAGGGGAAGAGAGTGTTGCCATGGTCCATGCTCTAATATCTTTATAGCAAAATGGTAAAGTTTCATGTTTTACTTTTTTTCACTGTTTTTGTTTTCTACTGTCCTTTGTTTTTGTCCCTGACAGTTTTTAAAAGGAAAAAAAAAAGGTCTTAATTTTCTTTCTCCTATCCTGGGGCTGTTCTTTTTGATTGTGAAATATTTTATGGCCTTTTGATGAATGTCTTCCACATTGAATAAGAAAACTTAGTGGCTTAATTTAAGAAACATGTTAATAGGACACCATGTTTTGAAATTGCAACAGAATCCACAAGTGATTTACAAGTACAAAGACTAAAAATAAAGGTAACTTTACCTTTCTTAAATATTTCCTGCCTTAAAGAGAGCATTACCATGACTTTAGCTGGTGAAAGGGTTTACTATTTGCAAAGCTTTATAAAAATGTATTTCAGTGCGTACTGGTACAGTAGATGGTCATGCAGTTGAGTATTATCACCTCTCTTTTGTTTGTCTTTTTATAATGTCTTCAAATATGAGTGTGCAAAGTCAATTTGTAATATTTTGCAACCCTGGGATTTTTTTAAATAGATGCTGCTTGCTATGTTTTCCAAACCTTTTTGAGCCATAGGATCCAAGCCATAGAATCCTTTATGCATGTCGTATGTAGTCAAAAAAGAGTAAGATGCTGCTTATTTCAATTACAGTTCAAGCCAGTTGGGATGAAATCCTATGACAATAAGCCAAAAAAAAAAAATATTGAAGTATACGTTTTCAATTGTGGCAATAAATGAAAGAATTGTTTCATTTTGGGACAGAAGGCCTTTTTTAAAATCCCACTGGATCCCTTCTCCCTTCTTGGCAGCAGCCTACTGAGAACTTGGTAATTCTAGTTGGTCAATTAGAAACTTCAAACACATAAATTGTACTTAAAGTCAACCTTTGTTCTCTGACAATTTGTGATATTTGAAAAAAACAGAACTCCCCAAAATCTCTGGTGATATGTACAGGCATCATTTTAAACTAAATGATTGTGCAACTGGTACTTGTTTTCAAGTGTGTTTACTAACTGTAGTATTGACTGCTTGATCAGATTCCAGTGAAACTTGACACCAAAATATTCCCCCTCAATCTTAATTAGTAACATATGCACTGTGATTGGCTGGCTTTAACCACCCCACAGGTAAATTAGTACTGTCAGCCAGAGTGGCAAAATTCAGCATTTGTTTTTAGTGGGAGAAGCGTTAACTGCACAACTACTATCTACACAAACACATAATTTTTCTAACTTCACATTCATTAAGTAAAATTACTTCCCCAAACTATGGGCGTGTTTATTAAGAAAGTGGATATCCCTAGTATGACTGTGAAAGCATGTCAGGTGTCACATTAGTGTCTCAAACCACGCACCTATGCAATATGGCTTACCTTGTATTTATTTGTAAAAATTCTCACCATATTTTAAAATAGATGATGTCAATATTACTAGTCCCGAGGGCCTCCATCATTAAACCAGGTAAGTGTATAAAAGAGATTAAGTGCTTTTCTTTCATCATTTATTTTCTTTACAATCAGCTATTACAGGATATTTTTTTATTTTATACATGCTGTTTTTTAATGTAATCACTGAAGTTTACTAATTTATTTTATAAGGTTTGTAGCATTACAGAATAACAGATTTATAAAACCAGCTGTGATTAACAATGTGAAGTTTTAATTATTGTACCAGATTTTAAGGAAAATTGTGCTGTTTTCCCCCTTTATGATCTTAAGTAATTTGAAGCCTTCAAGAAGGTTTTTCCATGAAATTTTTTTGTGACAGAAGAAAATTTAAGAGGAAGGGTGGGCGGATGCATGTATGTTACTCCATAAATTCAACATTCTTTACTATAGATAATAAATTATTATAAGCAAAATGCATCTTAGATAGTATTAATGTACTGAACTAATGTACTGAACTTCTAATTTTATATGTAAGACCAAACCCTTTTAAATATTCAGTTGTTCATGGTTCCTAGCCACAAGGGCTAGATCTAAGATTATTCCCTTAAGAGATGTTGAATTTATGAAGACTGGATTTTGAGGCTTTGAGAATGGTTAATTTGTTAAGAATGTCACTGTCAAACATCTCTTTTTTCATAGGAGTAGACACTAGCAAGTTGGGCAAAAGTATTATAAAAGTACTGTTATACATGACCTCTGTGGTCTGTTGCAGAATAATACAGTACTCCTATTGTGTGGTACTTAACACTACAGCGCAAGTATTATCTTAGAGGATTTCCTAGTGTAACATCTGAAAGATGGGTTCATCTATGTGTGTGTTTGCTCTTTAAAAAATATTACATTTCTCCAATCGCAAGTTGGCTTTGCATCTATCAGAGTAAATAAATTCTTCAGCTGCCTTATTTAGGAGTGCTATGAGGGTTACACCTTTTCTGCTTTTCATCTTGTATTTAGTTTACTGTATTAAGATTTAATTTCAGATTGAATGTAAATAGAAATTAAATGCAAATTTGAATGGACATAAAATAGAAGTGATTTTTTTTTATTCTAAGCTAGGAAGTGATTACTTAGTATACATGTCAGGTATACAAAAATGGCTTTAATTGCTTCTCATTAACATTCCACATGTGTTCGAGTTCTCATACTCTTATTTAATAAATTGTATGTAAAGAATGACACTTATAAAACTGTTTCTGCTGAGAAACAGAAACGGTGTAAAAAGATTCAATACTGGTTTTATATTAGATGTTACACATCTTTTGTTTTCATTCTATCGAACTTGAATTGTTTGCTTTAAAAAGGGTTCATATTATAAGTTAATGAAAGGTAGCTTCATATAAAACATTGAGAAGATTTCCCTCTACTTATAATCAACAGTTTTTCTTATCACACATGTCAGCTCCATTAGATGATTTATATACACAAAAATACTGCACACATGTAACTAATATTTCATATCTTGTAAGATGGACATTTCATGTAAATTATGTATCTGAAGTAATTTTATTACACTTTTCCAAGGTGTTTTCTCCTCAGAAGTTTTCATATGGTGACATTTTTCTCCTTATCAAAAAAAAAAAAATTCACTGTCCACCATGAACCTCCTTTGCTATCTAATCATATTGAAACAGAATTGTCTGAACACCTACCAGGTAAGCATGTGTGATAGGGTTGCATTAACTGTAGTAGACGGTTAGGCTTGCCTCTGAAGAGCATGTCTTCTGGGCTGTTTTTTCACAGCTAAATTGTAATTCCAGATTGCTTTCTCACCTCTCCTGCTGTAAAGCCATACAGGATGGATGCTAGCTTGTGCATTTTCAAATATTTGTAGAACTTTTCAAAGTAGATAAAAGGGCTAAACATATTATAGCGTAAAGAACAGAAATAACTACTCACAGTCTGAGTGTTGGGGAAAGGGTCAGCCTTCCTCATGTTCTTGTCAGCTGGTTAGCCAGAGAAACTTGTAACGGACTTGTCGCACTGGCGTTGCTCAGAATCCGTACCTCTTCCGTGTGCAATGTTAGCCTTTGTCTGTCAGCATTGCAGATCTGTTCTGATTCTTCATAACTTATTGTCTTTTTCCTTGTGTACAAGAAATCTTATACTCTGTATAATCTCTAAATTATTCCATATCAAGGAGAAAAATGCCTTATTCTCTTTTCTGCCATAGTATACTTATATCCTGTAGCAGGCAAAACACAGCTATCCTGAGCTATGGCTACACCTGAGTGCAAGCTTTATCCTCCCAATTAATAAAGAGTCAAGGAAAATACCCTAAAACTTCCTGGAGAAGACTAGCTATAAGGTAAATTTTTTTCTAAAGTTTCAGGAAATTGGCCTTTATTTTTATTTATTTTTATTGAAAAACAGACATACGGAGAGGAGGAGGCAGAGAGGAAGATCTTCTGTCTGCCGATTCATACCCCAAGGGGCCATAAGGGCCAGAACTGAGCCGATCCACAGCCAGGAGCTTGGAGTCTGATCTGGGTCTCCCATGTGATTGTAGGAACCTAAGACTTTGGGCCATCAACTGCCTTCCCAGGCCACAAGCAGGGAACTGAATGGGAAACAGGGCCACCAGGACTAGAATCAGAATCGGCGCCCATATGGGATCCTAGCACATGCAAGGTGAGGACTCTAGCCACTAGGCTACTGTACTGGGCACTAAGATACATTTATTTTTATTGGAAAGGCAGATACATACACATAGAGAAGGAAAGGCAGATTTTCCATCCACTGATTCACTCCCCAAGTGGCCACAAGAGGTGGAGCTAAGCTAATCAAAAGCCAGGACCCAGGGACCTCCCAGGTCTCCCAGTTGGGGGCAGGATCCCCAGGCTTTGGGCCATCCTATACTGCTTTCCCAGGCCACAAGCAGGGAGCTGGATGGGAAGTGGAGCAGCCAGGATATGAACTGGTGCCCATATGGGATCCCAGTGCATGCAAGTCGAAAATTTTAGCCACTAGGTTATTACCACACCAGGCCTGGAATTGGCCCTTTTTATCACACTATCTAAATCATCAGAGATGCCAGCTCTTCATAAGCCAGCTAGAGTCTTTCAATAGTTATTTCAAGATAGTTGATACAATTACACAAGAAGCAAGACCAAGAACATTAAAGCTGGTGATAGGAAACAGTGAAGTCCACAAATACAATCATTTAAAATCATTTATTATTAACTCAGTGAATGCAAGATTAAAATATCCTTAGAAAATCTGATTCTTATAGGCAAAATATAGCATTTAGAACTTTCATTTAAAAATACAAGGTTTTTTGAAATTTAATAAAGTTTAAATGGGAATTATAAAAGTTGATACTGAAGAAAATTCAGATAACATATACCTTAAAATATTATGAAAAATATTCTTCTGAAAAATAATGTCAAGAATAGCTGAATTCCTGTAAGACCACTAATTCTAGTTTCCAGCTGGTGTCTTGGTAGCATCAGAAAGAAAATACATTTACTCATTAACACTACAATCACCTGCCAAATAATTAGGATAGAATAAAAGTATATTCATTATAATAAGTAATAGGTATTTTTTTTAAAATACAGAATTCTTTCATTTATTCTTTAGTTAAATTGGACTACACGTGTAAGTCTTACCACACTGTTCTGAAACAGCTTGGAAATATTTTCTTGTAACTCTGAAAAACCATTGTAACACCTTTATTAACAGTCAGTAACCAAATGAAATTAGTATTTTGTGGCCTTAACAGTTTATACAATTTAATATATCTGAAGGTGTGATGACGTGGCTCCATCCTTCCATTTGTTGATGCGATCTGAAATGACAGTTCTGCACAGTGGGCAGGTTTTCTCTCTGTTAAACCATAAAGCAATACACTCCTCACAAAATATGTGCTGCAAAGGAATTAAGATACAGAGTTTATGCTTAATAAATACTTCAAATCCACTACATTATATACAAAACTACTTTTTAGAGCTATGAGAACACTAATCACCTCATTCTACAATCTAGAGTGGAAAAATCCAGAATAACACAAAAAGACAGTGGTAGTGATAGACCAGCTTCTTGTGACACACTATTTGCTCAATGTTAAAAAAAATATAAGCTCCTACCTATTTTAAATGTAATTGCTTAACATTCAGTTATGTTACCAGTGATTAGCTTAAGGTACAGGAAAGTGTTAACATTCTAGTAATAAATAATTACAGGTTTTTCTGCCTTATAGCAAATGTAACTTTTTCAACTGCCAGATAGATTGTGTATTTAATTTGCTTTTAAAAATTACCTGACAGATGAGAAGAATTGGCTTCTGAAATTCAGCTTGACAAATTGAACAAATATCATCCACATCTGCACACTGTCTCTTGCTGGCAGCCACTCCGTAACTCTGTGAAGATAATAAGGTTCTGTTCATCTCTGAGTTTCTTTACTATTCCTGGAATACAGGCATGATAAACCTCTCAAATAACCACGAAGTTAGCTTTTCACAAACTCTCCCTAAGGGTTTATTTCAAAGCTGAACCACAAAGGCAAAAGAACTTCATCTTGACTGCATCAAGTAATACCTAATAGGATTTTTTTAAAGATTTATTTGTCTTTTTTTTTGGAAAATCAGATATACAGAGAGAAGGAGACACAAAGAGAAATATTTTCCATTTGCTGGTTCACTCCCCAAGTAGCCGGAACGGCTGGAGCTGAGCTGATCCAAAGCCAGGAGCTTCTTCTGGGTCACTCACGTGGTTGCAGGGTCCCAAGGCACTGGGTCGTCCTCTGCTTTCCCAGGCCATTAACAGGGAGCTGGATGGGAAGTGGAGCTGCCAGGATACAAACTGGCACCCATATGGGATCCTGGCACATGCAAGGCAAGGACTTCAGACACTAGGCTACAGCACCAAGCTCCCTAATAAGATCTTGATAGATTCCACTAGATTTCAAATCAGAACAGTACTTTAAATTCAGCACAATTAACCTAGAGCTATTTGAAATGCAATTTTATCAAACCTGCATTTATATGTAATGTGACCCAGAACTGTCACCTCCCTGACCTCCTGGCTTTGGCTTGGCCCACTGCTGACTGTTGAAGGCCTGTGGGTAGTGAACTGGTAGATGGAAGATTTGTGATCCCTCTTTGTCTTCAAACGGAATAAAACTTAGAAAAAGATCAGGTTTCTGTAAAATGATGCAGGAAGTATACCTAAAGAAATCTAGGAACATCCAAGAGCAGTCAAGTATAGGTAAAGTATGACTGATCTGACCATATCTGAAATCATAATCTCTATTTGTGTTAATGTCTAGGGCTAGCAAAATCAGCTCACTACATACTAAGATCTCGTAATTACATGCAGTACTGACAGATGACCTCAGGACCAGTTTTCCTTCATGGGAGTGTCAGGAATACACTGCACTTAGTGAAGCTGACAAACTTTTAAACATGACTCTTGGTACTAGGAATCTCTGAGGTTCCCAACTAGTAAATTAGCTTTCTGTGGTAATCTTTGCAACTTGAACATCAACATAAATCATATAATAAAGTTTATAACGTTAACAATAGAGTGTCAATTATTTGGTCCCACATTGTGAACTTACTTTTAACTCAGTAATAGGAAAATACCAACCAATAAACAAACTGCCATGGCTACTGTGAGCTTTCTTCATATGCACAGTACATTAGAGTGGAAGGCATTGCCATAGAAGCTGAATAGGGGTTACTAAAGATACATGAATCTACCATTTATGGATTAAAAAGGATGCCAAGATTTTTAAAAAATTTATCAACCTTTAAAAACGTTAATTTACTAAAGGGAGTAAGCCATATTCGAATACATAAGCCTTGCAGTAATCAGCAGGCAGATGTCAAGAAACTGATGATCAATGAAGTTGAACTAGAAAATAATCTCAGAGGATCATTTCATGGACTCCACAGTGATAAAACTGCTAAACTGAAAATCTTACCAAAGAATTTTTACCTTAACTGACAAAAGTACTTACAGGTCGTGTAAAAAATATTCTCAAAACCTGTCTGAAAGTTCTCAGATGTCCAAAAAAGTCCAAAAGCTGAAAGAGGAAATAGATAATTAATTCAAGGTCTTAGCAGCTAAACCCAAAGATGACAGCTGAACCTTGTAACATCAAATTCTTTTGTTGACTCAATGCTTATTCATATCACAGTTAATCATTTCATTCTACACATATCTAAAAAGACCATTTTACTGAATTTATACATTTGAGGCAGCTCGTGAAACAGTACATTTACTGTATATTTTTGCAATCTGATCAAGGCAAATATAAACTTGATTATGTCAAAGACAGCAACTTTATCTGGTTTACATGTTCCTAACATTTGAAGTTGATTGAGGGGAGTCAGCCATAGAGGAAAAAAGAGCAGATATTACACATTGACACAATAAAAACAACATCACTAGAATAAGATACATTTATAAGTAGACACCAAACTGGCCTTAATTTAATAAAAAAAAAATATAAACTAGCTAAGGAAAAGAGTAGTGTATCAAATTAGCAATCATAAATTATGCAATGACAAGATTTATAATGTTACCTACTTTTAGAATGAGGTAGAATAAAGCCAGCAGTATCCCAAGGCTCCATCTAGTCCCATTACCAAACTCCCCATAGCTTACAAAGTAACGAAACCAAACTGGTATGGGAACAAAAGTTCGGTAACACTGACATAATTCTTCTAAAAGCATGTACCAGTAACCCTAAAAAAGTAAACAGAGGACAAATAAACAGAGCTACCCCAGCTACTTAAATACATAGCACAAACACTTAATATTCAACTGAGAACATCATGAATATATGATGCTGCAACAGAAACATAAATCTTGATAATGATGACCGACAATCTGGACATGACTCATTGGAGTCACCACCTGGTCAGTTTTCAGAGCATCTCTTATGATAGTAAAATGCTTTATGCTTAAAAATGAAGCTAATGTATTTTTTTTTTTGCTAATTTAACAAATTTACATGGAATGTTTTATTGAATATCTAAAGCAATTGAGTAACTGCATCCAGTGGATTACAAAATGTTAATGTCCAGGAGGAAAACAACAGTACACATCTAAATATCTTCCTGCGTGATGTGGAGATAGATTTTTCGATTATTCTGAAGCAAATTTAATTCTGGTTTTATCTAAGCAGGTTAATGTTTAGGTTCAAGCCCTTGAGCAAATGTTTGCCAGACTGAACAGATAATCAGATTAGGTTACCCAGCAAACAGAAAGATTACAAGAGAATTGAAGTCCAAATATCACAAGTGTGGTCTGCTAATATCATTCTGTAGGGCATGTGAGTTTCTTACCTTGGATTTAAATGGCATGATGAAAGAAGGCACCAGTAAAATAAGGCACTTGAAGCCCATGAAGAGGAATTTCAGAATGAAGTCTGTAATTCCAACAATCCAAAGTACTTCCCAGAAGCTCAAATTATCCAAAGTAGGATTTAAAAAAATTAAGCTACCAAAAGAAAAACATCAAAATTTACCTATGTAACACTTTTAAATTTCTATTTAAATATTTTATTTGACAGGCAGATAAAGGATTTGGGCAAGACTCTAATTGTAAAGAACTTTCTAAATGTTTGAATTTAAAGAAAGTTCCTATCTTGTCATGGTTGATACCTCTCTAGTCTGTAAACTAAGACTAATCCTGGATGACTGCCACTCCCTTCAACCAACTGCAAGGAGAACTTCATCCCCTCTTTTCCACTGAAAGGTTTTTGTCAACATCACCAGCTTCCCTATATTGTTCTACAAGCCCCTTCCCTTTCCCCGTTTTTTTTTTTTTTAAGATTTATTTATTTTTATTGGAAAGTCAGATATACAGAGAGGAGGAGACAGAGAGGAAGAGCTTCCATTCCATGATTCACTCCCCAAGTGAGCGCAACAGCCGGTGCTGCGCCGATCTGAAGCCAGGAGCCCAGATCCTCTTCCAAGTCTCCCATGTGGGTGCAGGGTCCCAGAGTTTGAGTCATGTTCGACTGCTTTCTCAGGCCACAAACAAGGAGCAGGATGGGAAGTGGGGCTGCCGGGATTAGAACCGGCACCTACATGGGATACCAACATGTTTGAGGCAAGGACTTTTAGCCGCTAGGCCACACTGCCCCTTTCCCCCTTTTGTTATAATTCTACCAGCACTCTGGGTCTGTCACTGATGGTTTCTCAGACTCCTTGCTGCTGCTGCTCTGATTGGCTATGCTGCTGTCCTATGTGGTCCCTCTCCTTCAGCTGCACTTTCTTTACCTAATGGGTTCTGCCCGATTCTATGGTTTTTAAGTATCAGCCAGATGCTAATAAAACCAGATTTTTTATTCTTAATTAGCTCATGACATTTCTTGAGCCACTTAACAATTCTTGGCTTTTCTAACTTAAGTTTAAAATAAAATGGATTTTCCTATAAAGATAGGTGTTTCCCTCATCTTTCTGAGCTCAGTAAAATGGCACCATCATCCAGCCAGTTACCAAGACTAAAAGCCGAAAGGCCATTCCTGCTTCACCTACCCTTGCCTAGTCCAATCCTGAATGCACTGACTCCACCTCCAGATTTTTCCAAATCTCCAACTCTACTGAAACCAGGACTTCTAATTCTCTACTCAAAGTTAAACATTTAGAACACTTCAATATGACATGAACACAAACCAATTACTGTCTTAGTAAGGCTTCTCCTTCTAAAACAAATACAAAGGGAGATAACCAAAGGGTACTTGATAGTGTTTATTAAAAAAATCAGGAATCAAATATTAAGCACCTGTTATGTGCCAAAGCACAGGGAATGCCAATCTGAATGACTTGCTTAAAGCTCAGTCATGATAGGACACAGTATAAGCTGAGCCACAGTACAGTACATGGGTGCAAGTAAGAGGAATGCAAAGTATTATGGACTGTGTGACTACATAAAATGCGATTACCTGTAATAGAGTGTCTGAGATTGAAAGGTGTAATATAAAAGAACAGAAGATCCTCCTAAGAATACCAGTAGCCAGACACATTGAATCTTTGAGGATCTTTCCTGAAAAATACAGAATTTTACATGTTGTTATTCTGGATAATATCAGAATCTTAAATGTCATATTTTTTACTTTAATGACTGATTCTTTAATTTAGAGTATCTTCCAGATTCTCAATAAAAATACTTAGTATCTGTAAATGTATATCATCACTATAGTCACATTATTTTAACCTGGGTGAAAAGATGGAAATGCATTAAAAACAAATGTATTAAAAACAAATTTTTTTAAATACTGATTTCTTCACTGTATGAGAAATACTACCTGAATGATAGCAACCTGTGCCATTAGCCTCCTCTGTTGCTCTTCCCACAGAACAATTTTAAAATGCAGGTATGTTAACCTGGGCTTATAACGTTTAAATTTTCTTTTTATTTGGTAGGCAATTAATAAGGTTGCTTTTAATCTTTTAATTTGATATTTTAATTAAAAGTTTCACAGGTTGAACATAATGCAAAAATCTTGACACTTAGTTCTGAGCACTGAAATGACCCCAGTGGAGATGTGTATCTTATCATGTGTGGTGGGTCCCATACAGAATGCAGGCATGCTAGTACTGTCATGCCTCGTGTAAAGGATACACAGTAAATAAACTTCAGGTTTAGACTTGGGTCCCATTCTGAAGCTATTTTATTACATATATGCAGATAGGAAAAAAGCCAAAAGGCGCAACACTTCTGGTTCCTAGGATTTCAGATAAGGAACAGTAAAACTGAGGTAGTTTTAGATGATTAGTTTGAATTTTTTAGTTTCATGGGTTCATGGGTTCTGTGGATATTCAAGTCACAATGTATGAATGATCCTTTAGGCAGAACCACTCCTTCAAAAGTAGATTATGTGAAAAAAAACCTATAAAGTCTCCAGTTTTTCCCAGTGATTCATGTGACTGGGACTCTTATGGAAAAGCCCTTTGAATTTAATTTTCTGTAATAAATAGCTAAGTAACTTTGTTTAATGATACAAATCTTAAAGTGCAACAAGGAAGAGTTTTTAGTGATGACAGTATGTTCAGATTAACTCATAAAACATGAAAGCACTTGCCAAACCAGATCAATCGGTTTGTTCTACCTCCTTTAATCTTTTCGTTTGTCAGTAACTAGACAGACAAAAAAAAAAGGTAAAGCAACTCAGAATTAGAACAGGTAATGAATAAGAGTATTAGCAAAATGTAATATAGCATAGACTGGGGCATATACTATTTCTCACAAGTTATTTCCTATTTGTATAAACATTTCTCTGTAACGCTATATAGTTATTTTTAGTTGTTTATTATACTTACTCTTAGAAAAACCTGATTTACAATGCTTTTGTTTGCATACAAAAAAGTTGTTAGCAGCCCAATTCCAAGAGAAATTCCTGTTAGAAAACAAGGTTCAGTTAATTGAAAGAAAAAAAAAAAGAAGGCTGTATAAGCTAACAGTGACATGGATTAAAAAGAAACACAATATTTAAAAAGTAACAGAAAATGTGTAACTGAAATGTACAGGTGAAGGCAGATTACCCACAAACAGAATGAACTGAAATGGGCCATTTACAAAGTCGGTGTTTCACTATGCCCTACCTGTTATATGCTGCATAACGAGCTTAATACCCAGAATCAAAATATATGGAAGACTTTTTTGCAACCACTTGAAGAGAGAGCGGAATTCGGAGAAGGAACCGCTTCCCTGTTCTCCCGCCTCGGTGGCATGATCCTCGGGCGGCCTGGCCTCGCTGTGCGAGTGACTCCGGAAGCGACTGTGGACACAGCCTTGGCTACAGCTGTGGGCACCAGCTGTCCTCACAGTCCTGGAGCTTTGATTTCCGACAGATTCTTTGGGTGTGGAGTTCATCTGGATGTGAACATCTCCAGAATGAAGACAAGAACCATCCCCGGTCCGTCCTGTGTGGACACAGTGGGAGCCCAGGGCTTCCTCTGAGCCTGCGGGGCCTGCAGGACTGTGCAGGTGGCTGTAACCAGCTTGCATGGCCGGGGAACACTTTTTTCTCTGATCCAGATCTTTTTTTGCTTCAAGGTTCTGGCTCCTAAAAGAGTAGAAAGTATTCCAAGTAAACAGCTGAATACAGGCTCACTCAGCTTGTTTCAGTCACTACAGGACAGGCTGATGATCACAGCAGATGAATTTTCGGGTGACTGATCTACCAGATTCTTCCCTGCGGCCTTCATGCCAAGGCTTGGCTGCCCTACAGAAATGAGCTCTCAGGGAACTTCTGATGCCACTGGTTCGCCAGTGACAGAACGCCATGGAGTTGGGGGGTCTAGCAGGCACTCAGGATATGAACACTGTGCAGGCCGAGACGCTGCCCAGTGTTGTAGATTCTGTACCATAGAATCTTCACAAGGGAGAGTTAAGTCTTACTTCTTTTACAAGTAGTTTTTTTTTTTTAATGATCTTCTAATGCCATGTTCAGTATCAGCCTAACATCACTTGGGTAAACTACCAATCTCGTTCCACTCTGAAAGTGTCCCCCAAACTAGGTAGGCTTCCAATCAATGGTGCCATCAAGAATATTACCCAAATACCTTTGAAACTTGGAAACCTTGGGGAGTCGGCATGCAATTGCCAGGAGAGACTATACTCAGGATAATGACTGACACAATCCGTGCATGGACGCCTCCAGCATGGGCAAGGAGGCTGCTGCGCTTTCGGGTCCCGCCCACGGCCGGGCCAGGCTGGAATATCGCTGGCGTCCCGGCTCTTCGTGCCCGCCACCAAGGCCGCCGCGCCACGGGCGCCGTCGGGGTCCCCAAACCCCCGGGCGGACGCCGCACGCGGCACTTTCAGTGTCCCTTCAACATATAAAAATCCAGACTCCTCTCCCACTGCTCCGTACACAGCCAAGGAAGGGAGGAAATAAAGTAATAGCTCTTCCCGGAACCCCGGAGGACACAGCTCTCCACCCACGCCCGCGCCCCCCGGCCCCAGCGGCCTCCGCCGCGCGCTTTCCCCGACGCGGCCTGACCTTTCGTGACCAGGAGCCGACCGAGGCCTCGGTGGCGACAGCTGCAGCAGCGGCACTCGCCGCCTTCAGCCGCTCGGCCAAAGCCATCAGCTTCCAAGTCCGCGGCCAGCAGCTGCGGGGCGGCCCGGCGGCGGCGCGCGCGCTCTCCGGACGTCCGCGAGCCCGCGCCGCGCCGCGCACAGGCCCGGCCGCGCGGCCGCGGGAAGCTGTTGGCCACGGAGGGCTGAGGGGCTGCGCCTCGAGGCGCTGGACGCGGAGCTGCTGTGGTACGTGTGTGTGAGAGTCTGTCAGTCGCCCCGCGGCGCCGAGACCCTGCCCACTCCTCGGGGGAGCGGCGGAAGCTCCGAGAGCCCGCCCCCGGAGGCGGGGACTCGAGTCGCAGTCGTCCCGGGCCGTGTGGCCGGGAGCGCCGGAGAAACGAGGAGACACGTTGGCCGGAGCTGGCGCGTCCGCGGGAGCGCGGGGCGGGGCGAGCGCCGGGCCTTCCTGGTTCCCGCCCGGCGGGCGTCGGGCGCACGAGCCAGAGGCGCGTGGTTTCCTTCTCTTCCCGGGGAGGGCGCCCTGGGGTCGGGCCGGCCGAGAAGCTGAGGCTGGAAGGGAAGCGCCTCTCGAGTGTGTGGTGGTGATGCTGGGGCTTTCTGACCTCGGGGGAATTCTACTTGTCTAAAATCGTTACTGGGCTCTGAAGAGAAAGTTTAAGGGGAAAATAACAAAACCCAACCCAATCCTGCCGTATTACATCGGCCTGGTACGAAGCGGGAGCTCGAGCCTGGCCTGCGCGTTGTGAGGTGGGCGAACCCCACACGTGTCGCCTGACTGGAAACCCCAGAACGAGTGCTCTTGTCCGACCTAGTTCGCTGGTGTGTGTTTAGTTTTTTGAGACTGCCGCGCTATGAAATTGGTAACACCTGATTTTCTCTAGAGCGTCCACTCAGTTACCCACTTTGAACCTTACCCTCAGAAAGGTGGATTTATCTTTAATGCAAAACCACTGTTAGATTAGCTTTTCTCTGGTAAAGACGCCGGCTGCTGCTGCTGCTGCTGCTTTTTCGCTTCTCCTTTTGGAGGATAGTTTTTTCTTTTCTTTCTTTCTTTTTTTTTTTTTAATTGGGCTGAGTCTGACTGACAACCTGAACCTCGTGACGATTTAGTTTTTCATAGTAAGACTGAGAGCCAGGCTCTGAACTGCAGTGAATTTTCTATGGAATCTTTCTCACTCTCTGCTATTCTAACTATGGTGTGGCTATTTACTTTTCTTTGTTTTAAAGATATTTTTTTCGAAAGGCAGATACAGAGAAAGGAGAAATCAAAATCCATCTACTGGGTTGCTCCCCAAGCGGCTGCAACAGCCGGAGCTGAGCTGATCTGAAGCCAGGAGCCTGGAGCTCTTCCAGGTCTCCCAGGCTGTGCAGGGTCCCAGGGCTTTGGGCTATCCCAGCTGCTTTGTCAGGCCACAAGCAGGGATTTATATGGGAAATGGAGCACCTGGGACATGAAATGGCACCCATAAAGGATCCTGGTGCTTGCAAGAGGAGGAGTTTAACAAATTGAGCTATTGTATCTGGCCCAGTATTTCTGTTTTAAACTTTAAAATATGTGAATGTTCAGGAAATGGGAAAAAAGACTCAATACATTTTGTAGCTTTGGTATACCTGATGTGAAGTCCATATTCTCATGTTAGTATATTCATAGCACATTGAGAGTGCACATTAAAGGTTTATTAGTGCATTTGGAACTCTAAAAGCTTTTGACGAAATTAATTTTGCATGATTTAGGGGTTTGGAGTTTGATTGGCGTTGAGTGTCATCCAAGGATTGTACAGAATGTTGGAGAGAGACATAAAAAAAAAAAAAGACTTAGTCTCCATCCACAGTGAAGTGAGTAGTTAGGTCTGCAGCAAATAATTACAGTGCGTTGCAGTAGTACTGTAATTGAAGGTTGTATGAGATGCAGAGGAAGCAAGAAGTGGGAGTGTTTAACTTTGTTAGACAAGAAAACCTTCATTAAATTTGTGCTGTGTAAGATGAATCCAGAAAAGTACATTGAAATTTGCCAGAACTGAAGAACTAACACAACATTCCAGTTCAAAACAACGTATATATAGAAACCACGGTACTGAAACGTCATGGCCCCTTACAGGTTGCATTTTTGGTCTTCAGAGGAGTGGGTGGGAACAAAGGAACAGCAAGAGATGAGACAAGTAGGGGCCAGAAAATGACAGATTTTGTTACAAGTTTATTTTATGATTTTTTTCTCATGACCCAAGGAAAGCCATTGGCTTTTCAGTCATAGAGTTATGAGACCAGGTTCTTTGCAGAAAATCCAGCTGTTAACAGATAATAGCAGTACAAGCTCAACTGGGAGACTGTTGTTCAATAGTTCCTGAGATAAAGTCTTGAGCTTGTCACGGAAGTGGAATTCAAGAGGAAGAGTGAGATTGGAGAGGGTTAAGTGTGAGAGGTGGTTGTAGGGGTGCCTCCCACCCTCCCCACCACCCAGACCATCACATCCACCTGTGGCGTACCCCTTGGCATTGTTGGCCCAGGCTGTTTTACACGTCCCCATGACTTGCTTTGGGCATTGTGATAACAGAAGGTGGATTCTTGCACAGTGTGATTTACATTTACTCCTGGCACCCCTTTTGCCACCGATCAAGTTGAAGACTTGCTCTTTGCATGCTAGTCATGGCTAGATGAGACCAAAATCCAGAGCTTGAAGTTCAAACCATTAGTGACTGCCTTCATCTGCTGCCTCCCAGGGTGTCCATGACCAGAAAGTGGGAATTAAGGGTGAAGGTCAGGCTTGAATCCAGACCCAGTATGCCTATGGGCATCCCCGATGGTGAGGACCGTGTATGATTGTTTTAAAGTCTTGGATGATTCTGTCATCTGTTTTGTCTTTTTTTTTTTTTTTAAGATTTATTTATTGGAAAGTCAGATATACAGAGAGGAGGAGAGACAGAGAGGAAGATCTTCTGTCTGATGATTCACTCCCCAAGTGAGCACAATGGCCGATGCTATGCCAATCCGAAGCCAGGATCCAGGAACTTCTTCTAGGTCTCCCACGCAGGTGCAGGGTCCCAAAGCTTTGGGCCGTCCTCGACTGCTTTCCCAGGCCACAAGCAGGGAGCTGGATGGGAAGTGGAGCTGCCGGGATTAGAACCGTCACCCATATGGGATCCCGGCACGTTCAAGGCAAGGACTTTAGCCACTAGGCCATGCTGCCGGGCCCCATCTGTTTTGTCTTAGCACTGGTGTAGATTCATCTAACCTTTTTTTATTTTACCCTCTTTTTTTTTTTACCTGCCACTGTTAAATAATGCCAGTTTGTATTCTGAACATTCTGAATACTGTTTGTTAAATACCCACAGAGCATTGTGTTTTGTAGTTGCCCTCAGCAGCCAGTCATCCTGAGTATATTGAGGCTTCAAGGTCTGTCTCCTCCCTGCTCACCATGGGTCCCAAGGTCAGGGCAGTCTTCAGAATCTGCACTCTGCTGTTTCTGGTCTGTTCTCCCTCTGTGTTCTTCAGGATTCACCCTGGATGGGTGCCGTGTCACCTCTGAAGGGCTGTTCTCTGCTGCTTTTCACCTCAGCAACAACGCCGCACAGATGTGATTTCTGATGTGGGAGTCAGCCTCTCCCTGGCTTTCTCCCACAGGCCTGTGCCCTAGAGAAGGGGGTTTCCTGTGAGTTGCTTGTGTGCAGCCTCAGACAGGAGGTAGGAAAGGGGGCCTGGCATGGTAGCCTAGCAGCTAAAGCATCTCGCCTTGCATATGGTGGGATCTCATGTGGACGCCAGTTCTAACCCCGGCAGCTGTGTTTCCCATCCAGGTCCCTGCTTATGGCCTGGGAAAGCAGTCGAAGAGGGCCCAGTGCCTTGGGACCCTGCACCTGGGGGAAGCTCCTGGCTTCGAATCGGTGCAATTCCGGCTGTTGTGGCCGCTTGGGGAGTGAATCAACAGGTGGAAGCTCTTCCTCTCTGTCTCTCCTCCTCTGTATATCTGACTTTGCAATAAAAATGAAATCTTAAAAAAAAAAAACAGAGATAGGGAAGGCAGTGGGAGTTTCTGCTTTCTGTCCACTCTGGAGTCCCTCAGACATGTTCTTAGTTCCTTTACCTCCAACACCAGGTTTCATGGAGTTTTAGCCACCACACTGCTGTTGGCACTGCATCGTGGGTCCACACCCTGAACAAAACACACACTCCCATGTAAAGGGAGATTCATTCTGGTGGCAGCCCCTTCTCCAAGTGTGACGCTGCTTTTGTTTGCTTGTCAGTGTCCGTGTACTTAAGCTGGGGTATGTCATCAGCAGTACAGATGAGCTTTGTCTAGGTTTCCTCCAGTGTATTAAATGTCAGCAGGACAACTTTTTAAAATTACTATACCCAGTTCTTAGCAATAGTAAGTAGCCAACAAGTACTTATTGAACAGATGATTAAGTTAGCCTCTCAGACCTCCTTTTGCTTGACATTTTTGTAGCATCTGTAGGGTAGGTGATTCCTACTTACCAGACTGTTCTCCCCAGCTTCTGTGTAATTCTGATTTCCCCATTTCTTTGACAGGAGAGTTGCTACCTCTTTGGAAATGTACAGCTTCAGAAATGATGATGGGTGACACCACAGCTGTACTGGCTCATGGACAGCCTTGGAGATGAGGAGAGTGGATGTCCACCAGCATTTCATCATCCCGGAAGAGATGTGTGGTCAGCACTGCTTTGTTCCCCTATTGTTGCTTCTTGCGACTCATCTTCCCATTAATTCAGTTCCTCATGATCTTATTATGTAACCTCTTGCTGAAGTATGATTTTCAAAAAGGTATGATCATGACTCCTTTGCAAATGTAAAGAGAGAGAGAGGTCATTTTTTTACCCCTAACTCATTAATGAGAGAACATGTAAGGTGTTAAGACTGATTCAAAGACGGTTTTAAGGAACAGAATTTATGTAGTCAGTCAAAGACATGCTGAAATAAGTTGCTAATAGATGCAAATTCCTACAAGGCATGAAATATAATATTTGGAGTTCTGTCTTCACCAGATGGAAAACAAATCTCTGCTAGATTTCTATTTGTATTTCCAAGGATAGGAATCATTTGCATTGCTGTGACAGTAATTATATTGTAGTCAGTTTTTAAAAATTTTTAAGATGTGTTTTTTTTAAAGATTTATTTATTTTTATTAGAAAGGAGGATATACAGAGAGGAGGAGAGACAGAGAGGAAGATCTTCCATTCGATGATTCACTCCCCAAGCGGCCGCAATGGCTGGAGCTGAGCCAATCCGAAGCCAGGAGCCAGGAGCTCTT